CGCAAACACGAAGCTAATCGGCTGAACAATCACCGATCCCGTCCAACGATACCTCCCCTGCTGAATCTTCCATGTATGAACCGACTGGAAACGAGCTCTCCAACCAGAACCACGTGTAGACGGCGAGGCTCAATGCCCTCGGAGAAGCCTTCGAACACGGAAGCCACATTTCGAGCGTTACCTAAAAAATCGAGACCGGTCGCGCGATCAAAAGGACAAGAAAAGCCCGAGTACTCGCGACAACAGTAACAATACCGTGACCCGGCGGGACCGAGCCGGTTGGGCAGGGCAGGATGGAAAAAACACCATCAAGAAACACAGCACACAGCAAAAAGAGTGTGATTTCCCCTTGTGCGAACACACGAAGGGGAGGTTCACCCACAGCCGTGCCGAGTGCCGCCATGCGGCTCTCCTGAGTGAGCATGAATGAGTCTATTGTAGGAGAGCCGCAGGGTGGCACTCGGCACGGCTGTGGGTGAACCTCCCCTTCGTGTGTTTGAACAGGGGGAAATCACACTCTTTTTGTGTGTCCTTCCAGCGTTTCTTGATGTTTTTCCACCCCGCCCTGCCCGACCGGCACGGTCCCGCCAGGTCACGCCTTGGTTGCTACTGTCTCGAGTACTCGGGCTATTCCTGTCCTTTTTGCTCGCGCGACCGGTCTCGATTTTTTGAGGTGACGCTCGAAATGTGGCTTCTGTGTTTCAAGGCTTCTTCGAGGGCATTGAGCCTAGCCGTCAACATGACGTTCTGGTTGGAGAGCTGAACGATCACGGGGTCCGGGACACATGTTCCCAGCACTAGCTGGAGCACAAAGCTGGGCGGGTCAGTTTTCGTCTTGACCGCGTGGTCGAGCGCGCCCACGATAAACCGTTCGAGGACACTACCTGGAGGCAGGCGGCCACCTCCAAAGCTTCCGTCTGTGCGCGTCTCCAGCATGTCTCCTGCTACGCCGCGCGAGACAGGCTCGCTGAGTTGGCAATCCTCATCGCTGCCGTTGTTGCTGCCATTGATTGTTGTTGTCGTCGTGGCTGTGGGAGGCTGAATCGTGTTCGGATTCGTTCTCGTTAGAGCCGCCTCCGCTATTTTCAGAGCTGAGGCGTAGGTCAGCACTTCTGCGGCCTCTGCTTGTCCAGCAGGTTGGGCCGACGAGTCAGGAGTAGCTTCAGCTGCCTGATTCCGCTTTGTTCCTTTTTGGCCTTCTTTTTCTGGCCCTGACTGAGAGCCGGGGTGTACCCGTCCTCATCAGTAGGCTCAGGGGGAGATTTATAGTCTCCTTCTTCTCTCTCGGGCTTTTTTTCGTCACACCAGGCATTGTTGTCTGCGCTGCTAGATGTGTACCCGCGAACAGACTTTCGTCGAACGCCAATGAGAACACCCTTTCCCTGTTACCAAGGAATGATCCCTCAAGTGTTGAATATCCATTCACCCGCGGAGATATTTCGCTCTTGTTGCAACGTGGCGAGGAATTGCCAAGCGTAGCTGACATTAGTCGGGCTTGCTAGTTTGAAAGGTGAGAGTGAGCCTCAGGGGCCGCTTTCACCCTCCGGCTGGTCACAGCAGACGGAGGGTCTTTCGTTTGCAAACATTTTCAGACCTCGGGAACGTCGTTCGTAGGGTCTTGGATCTTGACGGTTGTATGTGCACTGTCACTCGGAAGATACATATACTGTAGAGGTCCCTGTTTAGTGCCGGGGTGTGCGCAAAAATTTCACAGGCACTATACCGGGCACCGGCACTAATCAAAGTACAAATCGACTTGATATTCCAGTGTGTGCGAGCCGAAAACATCGGCACTATACCGGCAACCGGTACTATTCAACCGGCACTAAACAGGGACCTTTACTGTATCCTGATTTCCACATTTCTCACCAACAAGAGTTCTTCGGTCTTGTTGACATCGTGGGCCCGACTGCAGTAACGGCACACGCGGCCACGTTTTTTCAGTCGGCACGGCGTCGTGCTAAGACCAACGAAACTCTTTGTTCAACGATACGCCCATTGTTGCTGTGTAGTAATTATTGGCTGCTGTCGTGTTAGTAGGAGCTGTAGAGCCGCCCGTCATGGGGTGTAGTGCTTGTAGTCCCCGCGGTGAAGGCTCAAGGCAGACCGGCTGTAAGCGAGCTTTCGAGAACAACCCCAACGATAAACGATGAAGTTATCTGTTTGTTTGTTTGGTGACAGTGCAGAGTGTACACAGATGATTGTGTGACTTGTCATTCTGTTTCGGCGAGCGCACATTAAAAACATCAAGGTAAGGTGTTAAAAAATGTACGTCGCGAGTGTATCTCTGTTTTTTCTATCATTTTCTTACCACGGGGATCGACCGGGTCAAGTGTCAGATTGGTACCGATAGATGGAGGTACTGGATAGAGAAATCGGAACGGTTTTTAATGTGAAGACAACAGCAACAACGACACGTGTTTGCGTTTTGCTCAGGTTCGAGGGGGCCGTCCAGGCGAGCAAGGGCCAGGCGTTCTTCCTGGTGTTCTGCACGGCCCTGTCGTTCGCGACGCTGGCGCTCGTGCTGCAGATCCAGTTCCCCGCCATCGGCAACTACTGGTTCTTGCTCACGCTATTGTCTCCCTACGCGTGAGTCCTTCCTCTCTTTGTGGGCCCACATGCGCACCACCCTCCTGTCTCACCCCCGAATGATTTTCTTCATGGCTGGGGTGCCACCTGAGGTACTTTGGAGTCGACCGTCGGCGTGTGGTGTGTGTGGGCGCGTAGTCGTGAGCGGTGGGGCAGGTAGTGCATGAGGTGGGAGTTGGGGTGTGCCTCAAGAGGCGGCTAAGAGATGGCACCCCCCATAGAGCGATTGTCCAAGCTCCATTGTTCGACAACTAATCTTGTGCCAACACCAATAATGGTGGTTTCGGAAACACGTCCCATCGAGGGGTTCCGTAGAATTGTCGGGCTATTTCAGGACCCACTTGGTTGTGGAGCAATCGAGCTTTGAGAGTTGGTCTAGGGGGGCTTGACATCTCCCCACCTCTTGCAACGGTACTCGGGGAACAGGAAGTATTTCTCTACAAAAAAAAAATGTTTGTGGCGCTGATTTCTACCGGCTTGCGTGTTTGGCCTCCCGCCCATGATCGACGGTGGAAACAAGAAGTTGCTTGCGATGCCACTCGGCAGTGCAAGGTTGGGTCTTCCTTAAGTTACTACCCCGCTCTTGACTAAATTGGCGTTTGGTGTGCCCGTTTACAGCAACAGACCGAATTTTCCCGCTTATTTGTTTGGTTGCGTTGTTTTCTCGCTTCCCCCTTCCTTCCTCTCTTGTGACACTTTTTGCAGAGGCGTTTACTACTGGCAGAACGGCTCGCGGAACGATAAGGCGCAGGTGCGGCTGGAGACCTCAGACGACGACACTTTGACGGAGATTTACATAACGGGGGTGAGAGCGGGAAACGTGTTCTGCTGAGTGCGCCGCTGTGGTCCTAGGCGTATTTGTTTTTGATTCACGTCCAATGTTTTTTAGGAAAACGAGAATGGCTGTCTTAGGTGGAAAAACAGGAGGTACATGCGGCAGTGCACGTCTGGCCTGTCACCGCTGTGGCGTGCTGTTGCTGTTTGAGTGCTGTCGTGACACGATGACGTTACGCGTGGTGACAGTCGCGGGAACAACAATTTAGCTTACTCTTTTGCCACACCGCAGTGCGAAGGACACACTCCTTTTTCGCACGGTAGCGTGTCGCGATTTGTTTCACCGAAACCTGAGAACGGCCCTATGGGGGGGGGGGCTCCTGTAGAGAACCGACGGACTCCACAATTGTACATGCGATATCAGTAGTGGAGGTGACCCCGCGAGAAAATTAGCAGCGGCGGGCGTCGGTGGTACTCACTGGATGAATTTCGAAGGGTCGAGCTCGAAGACAAGATGCAGCTGTCTGAAGTTGTCTGCGACTCCCTTCCATCTTAGTTGGATGAAGAACGTACACGTTTTGCTCAGCGAACGTGCGAATTCCAGTCAGCGCGAGAGAGCCTTCCAGTGTGAAGCCGACGGAAACCGCCGAGGTGTAACCCTCTTTTCGTCAACGTATAAATGCGTTCCACTTAAACTTGTGGAAATTCTGCTGTACCGACCCAATTCCCCCCCAACTCCGGATTGTTTTCGTGAAAATCGCTTGAACGAAGGCGGCGGAGGAGTTGGACCGCTTGTCCAAGACCATGGGGTACATGGAGAAGGGCATGATTAGAGTCAAGGGGTTGCTCGAGGGTGAGGCTCCCGCGGCGCCTGTGGTGCCGGCAGTGCCAACTCCCGCGGCGCCTGTAGGAGAACCAGCAGAGACTGAGGCTTAGGTTTTGGTTTACCGTTTGGATTTTAGCGCGTGTAACATTTCTTTTTTGTGCTTGTTTGGGGCCACTGGCTGTATGTCTTCGCTCGGGAAACTTCCAACTAGGGTTGGGGGTGGAATTTTTCTTGGCGGTTGGCTTGGAGCGGATGGTTGTTTGGGTAGTGTGTCAACGAAGATCTGATTGCCGCCCGTACTGCAGATGAAGGCCACGAGGTAGCAATAGCGATCGTACCGGTGCAACGTAGACGTGCTTGTATGGAGGCGGTGATGCGTCGATAGATGTTCCGCAGGGAGGGGTGGTGCAGAACGACAAAACTGAACTCGAGCAATTTTCAGGTTTTCAGCAACTGCAGCATTGAAAATTCTTGCGCGCGGAACCAATCGTGGAGCGGAATCCGCGCGCCAACGTGTTAGCAGACACGTGTCCGTCGGCTTGTTCATGATGGATGCTCTCGGAGATCGCGCTGTTTGGAAACGCTTCGCTAAACCACCAAAAAAAATCCCCACATACGGTGGGCACAGCGATGCGGCTAGGTCTTGAACGGCATTCGTGTGGCATGATGTCCCACATGCACGGTAAAGAATTGCCATCGGCAGCACAACGCCGGCTTGAAATCCCGTGTTACTGCCTGTTCTCTTAACATTGTGAGGTGATTATCAACGTTGGGCACACAAGCAAAGGCGACCGTACAAGAGTACAGCCTGCTGCCTGTGCGAATGGATGAAGGCAGCGTTAGAAAAACTGTCCAACGTAAGCAAGGGTTTCCCTGTCTAATGAAGGTACGCGTGGTCATCAAGATATTCGCAGAACGACACAGGAGGCGAATAACAGCTAGTCACTCTGGGGCACGCTCTAAGCATCAACCAAAACACATCCAAAACACATCAACAGTCAGTCTTGTTGTGAAGCGCGCGCGTATCCACATCATAACACCATCTGGTCTCCCCCTCTGCCCCCCGTCGAACACAGCACAGCGGGAACAACACGGGTACGGACGCCACACGGCCAAATAACAAACACGCCGAGCCTCCCTGTTTATTCAACCCGGCCAGCACAGAGCTGGCTTGTACCATTTACAACCGATGATATCTTCCTACACACAACGCGTGGTCACGAGTCCCCTTCTTCCATGTCCACCGAGATTTTTGGCTGGCCCTTTCTGGCGGCTACTTGTTCCTTGAACATCCCGAGCGCCTCCTCCCAAACCGACTGATGGTTGTTGGTCGCCCGTCCTTTGATGGCGGCGACATCAATCTCCGGTCCGCCTTTCAGCAGAGATTTCCACCACACCGCTGCGTTCGGAACGGGGCAGTGCTTCTTCAGGACTATCTCAACCCCTCGCCTATCGCCATTGCTGCTGCTGCTAGCTTCTCTTGCCCCTGCTGCTGGTGCTGGTGGTGGTGCACTACCAACAGGATCACCACTACTGTCAGGATCATCTCTTGCCACAGCCGTACCCGGGTAGTCTTTGAGCTCCCACTCCACCTCGCCCTCGTCTTCCGCTCCCAGTTTTGCCTGAAACGCAAGCTCTCCTTCCAAAACAGGCACCAGCTTCGTACCACCCCCCGGCGCCGTAGCAGCAGTCCCTAATTCTCTGCTAGCAGCGCCATCTCTGCCCCTCGTTGCCTTGACAGCCACCCTGATGAGGTCAGCAACCCCCTCCGCGATTGTCTCCGGTTTCGCCCTCAGTGACACCTCCACGTCTCCCGCACGAGTCCCCGCGGGCACCGGGACGACGACCACGACCTCTGCTCTCGTTTGCCGCCAAACGTACTGCAGGGCTTGTCGGCCAGCGTTGGCATCGCCGCGCACGGCCGCCCCGTTCTCCGTGAGCCGCTCGTCGCTTATGAGCGGTTTGACCTGAGGCGTAGGCGTGGTGCCTGTTGCTGCTGCCGCCACCGCTCCCGTAGATCCATCTGCTGGAGCCGCGACACCGGACGAAGATGGGGTGGTGTCGGGGTGAGCACCGCTGTCGTCGCTGGCGCCATCCCAACCTTCGGCGGCCTGCGACGCAGACGTGCCGCCGAAGGTGACCGACTGAGGCTGGTCGAAAGTAGTCACCTCCGGATTGTTACCGTTGTCGTCATCACTGTCGCTCATCTCACTCGCCATCTTGTCCCACTTAGAGTAGTCCACACCGCTCATGTTTTTGATTCGTGAGAGGCTCAATGTGCTGCGCGTAGAGCTGGGCAAGAGTGGCAGGTGGGCGGCAAAGCAGCAGCGAACGGCAAACCCGCGGGAACTAAGGCAAACCTCAGGGGGCGACGCAAAACGGACCAGGGCAGGCTATCGAACCAAATCGGAGAACCGAACCAAGTTCTGAAGAATATAAGGTTCTGAGTTGCTGAGTTGCTGAGTTGAGTTTCCTGTCGTCCGAGCTGTGTCGTCCTGTCGTTCCGTTAGCTCTCTATGCATAATCCTGGGTTAGACTCTGCCGGCGTTCCAGATGGATAGGCCGCAGGATGTAGAGCAACCTGCGGTTGCCGCAACGCCACGCCGAAGGCGTGTTGCGGCACTTGAGCCCCCGCAGCCTCCCCCAGGAGCGGCGGCCGGAGGCGATTGTTGACGACATTCATCGGGAGTTCTTGCAAAATTCATTCGAAAACAGCATAATAAAAGTGTCGATCATTTAATATTTTTCACCAGTTTTGCGACAGAATCTATCTCGTTTCCCAGCGGCAAAGAGGCAACATAGTTTTTTTCTCGCCTTTGGCCAGAGAAAATACGTTTAAACGCGGAGTTAAATAGTGTCGCACATTTATTTTCGCCGTTCGGGGAAAAAGTTTGCGCCCTCAGAATCTCTGTATGTTGCGGGAATCGCGTTTTTTTTGTGACTAAAATGTAGCGGTGCCACAACACCGCAGAACCTAGATGCGGAGATGTCGAGGATCACTGGTGAAACGAGGCAGCACGATTGCGCACCGATGCCGATGAGAAGAAGGTCGTACTACTGTACTGCTGCTGTATCTGCAGCGTCCGGACGGCACGAAACTATTCAATACAGAGAGAGGTGCTCGAACAAAGAAAGGAAAAAAGAAAGGCATTTCACAAACTTTCTTGGCATTTCCCGCCGCACACAGCAGTACTACCACCCAATAACCATGTCAAAAGAGAATGGACGGGTCCGCATTCTCGCACGCCCGCGGTAACTTTGCTCACATGCGATAGCTTCCTCCGTATACTATCGGAAATATCATAACTAGTCTATACAAGACAAGAGACAAACGCGAAAGCCATACATACAGTTCAGGCGAGTGTTACAGCACGACACTTGTTGTTCCCGCCGGAAAAAGCAGCATCGATCGTCTAACCTCCACAGTGAAACACACCCAAACCATGTCCATCATCTCAACGCCGGATACTCGGCATTCACGAACGTTCGCCGGTCACCACTCGATCCCATTCAGAGTGCCCCCCTTCAAGTCAAACCTGGTGAAAAAATGCACGGACAAGAAAAACATGGGTGGAGGACACCGCCTCGAATACTTTTACAGCATGAACGTCGTTTCGTGGTCTACGCTCGTTGGGCGAGTTTGGTGCTGCTTTGTTCCTCTGCTCATGGGGCCTCCTTCTTGCTTCAATCCTTGGAACCTGTGGCACACAGAGCGGACATACACGTACCCCATCTCGCCGTCCTGCTGGCATTCGCTGCTTGAGTGAGCGTAAGGGCGGCGCCAGTGGACTCGACAGAACCTGCCGCGAGGAAGCAACCTCAAGATTCTCAATGTCATTCCATGCATCCCTCTCAACGTCATACTCAGTGCCATCAGCATCTATTGCTTCCCGCCTATCCTAATCCGAACAGATCAATAAACGATAACTCTAGCGAGGACACATTGGTCAAAACAACAAGGCACGAGTGAAAACGAACGATTTCCCGGTTTTACGTTCGTACAGCGCTAAGATCTACACGCCCAGCAAAAGAAAACGATTCAGATTTCGCCCTTTGACCCCCTGCTTCAATGGCGCCGCCTACCAGGAACTGCTCCCAAAAGGTGCAAGCGGTCAAATGCAACCGAGGCATCTTCTAAATAACGCGCCCAGCCCTCCTGCGTTTGGATCCTTACCTTTTTTTCGCAACAACTCCTACAGCAATATCTACGCCTGACCCATGACTCTGGTCAGGTTTTATCAGCTGTACAAGGGAAGATAATCAAATAATGTTTCGACCGCCCCGTGACAAAAACATGGCCTGCATTGCGCGGAAGTTCGCGGCAACCCTTCACCATTCCTATTCTCCACCCGGGGGCACGGCCGAGCGCCGCCCCAGCAAACGAACACTGTTTTAGCTAACGGACGCAGGACAACGCCTTGTACTGTGTAGCATTGCCCAGATATGGTACCCATCCCCCCCTCTCGTTCCTGCCTGCGAATGCCACACCGTCGACGACGTGGTCCTGTCTGGCACTACGTATGTAGTTGACCCTGTTACGTTGGTTTCAACGCCGACCCGATTCCAGGGGTGCCCGTGGCAAGCCCACTCCCGTTCGGCTCCTCACCCACCACTGCTACTCCTGACGGCCTCCTCCCACGGCCCGAACCGAATCAATCACCCCCTTCCATGGCCTCCACCTCTGCCTCAAGCACGTCCATGGTGGCCATGAGCGTCGGGAGGGCCATGTCGTTGACTCGGCGACAGAGCTGCTTGGTTTCGTGCGCCGACCAGCCGCCGACGCCGGTGAGCGCCACCACCTCCGCCCCGCCCACCACCTAATTTTTATTTTTGTGTTGTTTGTCCCATAAGGCGGGAGGACCACCACCACCAACACAAACGGCATGGAAACACGTGGGGGTGAGAGAGTAGCCACCGTTGTTGGAGAGGTTGTTGTTGGGACAGATGATGCACAGAAGATATAGAGAAGATATTCCTTGAAGCGCAGAGAGTACCCGCCGTGCCTGTGTATGTGATTCTGCATCACCACGCAAACCCCGAGAGCAGCCAACGACAACAACAGAGCAGGAGAGCTCGACACATGCGCCGGATGAGTAGCAAGCCGTGCGAGAGGTCGTGGATACAACCACCAAAACGAACACAGTGCTGAAACGTCACCACCACGGCCTGCGTATGACATAGAGCATGTTAGAGAATTCAGTGAGTGATGTCATCGGTGTTGTCTTCTATTATAGCTGAAATCACTTGGACACCCGTGCAAGATTGTCGCGTAATTTCTGGGCCCCATGTCAAGTGCAGCAGCGTAGCAGTATACACAAGCCGCAAGGACAACGTTGCGAGAGAAAACGTTCGGGTGGACACGGCAACAGATCGGCGGTCCGTGTGCAAAGGACACGCACACTACTAAGCGGATGCGAGACTATGCCTACAGCAAACATCACAAAAGAACGATGTACGTCAGGTCCAGAAGCAACGCGAAGTAGCTGAGCCCTGTACCTTGTTGCGTTCATGTCAAGTCGTGGGGCACAGCTTCCTGGTCTGCGTACTAGCTATGGCATTTGTAAGCCTTCAACTTTCATCAGCAAACAGAACGGACCACGGTTTTTCATGCGGCACCTAGACACTCGAAGAAAACCTCGCCAACCTTTCTGCAGAACGGACCAACACCTGCTCCTATTTCGAAGAGCTTCTCCCAGTTGTTACCGCCATCCACATTTGGGAAGGAAAAAGCTCTTGCAAGAGGCTGGCGTACATCAATAGTCGTCTCCTACTCAGAGACCTGCGGAGAACTGAGGAGTTGAGCCATACACCGCGAACCTCTCTCACACACACAACAGGTGGTGCAGGAGGTAGCAGGACGCTCTCAAAGGTAAGCGCAAAAGAGAGAAGAATGTGCTGGAAGGCGAATAAGTCGGGCTGACTCGGCTAGACGTTTCATGGATGTTAAAAAGAAGGTACACCAAAAACTGAGTGCCTCACCTTCGGATAGTCCGCGGCCAGGTGGAAACACGCCACGATCCCGGCGCCCATCGTGACGGTTACCTCACGGCTCGGCGAGCGGTACCCCGTCAGATACCTACGCCGCACCTGCCGCACGTGCTCCTCCCTCACCGCTGCGCACGTCGCCCGGCTCAGGGCCTCGATTACGAGCTTCCCCAGGTTCTGCGGGGCGGGAAGCGCGTCCGCGGCGCGCCTCATCTCCTCCAGCTCGGACGGAGAAATCCCTGCAAAACCCGCCGCCCCCCCGCCCCCCTGGCCGTGGCAGAGCTGCGCGGAGCTAAGCTTCCCGTCCACCGCGGATACGGTCACTTCCATGGTCAGCCCCGAGCCGAGGCCCACCATGAACTCCATCCCCTCCACCCTGCCGCCGGCGCCGGCGCCGAAGAGCAACCGGTGGGACAGCCGAACGCCTCCCAGGTTTTCCACCTCGGCGACCGTGGCTGCGTACCAGTCCCGGATTCCTGTGTTCCTCCGCACGAGGGCGTCCTCCTCACGCTCGCAGGCCTCCAGCCGGGCTTCCGGCATCCCCGCAACCCCGACGAGGTTCTCCATCTCCCTGGAGGCTTCCGCCCTCCACCCGTTCGACCCTGCCGCCGCCCCTCCTGCTCCTGTGGCCGCCGTTTCCGCCGCTGCCAGCGCCACCGCGTGTTGCTCCCTCTCCAGGAGGTCTACTTCTCGCTGCTGCAGCAAGAGCTCCGCCCGCACGGCGGCTGCTCTCTCCGCCAGCACCGTTCTCTTCGCCTCGACTGCACCCAAGGCCTGGCTGTCCTCCCTCAACAACGTCTCCTCGTTCCGGATATCCGCCTCTCGCTCGTCGGCGCGATCATCCCCGGCGTAGACCTTGTCCATGATCGACAGCCTGGCGCCGCCGGACGAACGGAGAGCGGGGTCCGCCTCGACCTGCAGCGTCAAGCCCTTTATCCGTTCCTGCAGGTGCATGGCCTGCTCCTCGACTCTTTCGGCCGAGGACCTGAGAGGTTGCTGCTCGGAGAGAGCGCGGTCCGTGATCTCGTCTACCCGCCGCCGCTCCGCCTCGAGGTCGTCGTCGGCCGCCTGGTCCGGGAAGTCCTCTGCGGGGGATCGAAGGAGCAGCGAGAACAGCGAAGTCGAGGTCAAATAAGTCGGGGGG